ATTTACGGACGAACGCAAGTCCTCAGTGTGTATGAATCAGATGAACCTAGGACCAAAATTTGGGTGAATCTAAGAAACCACAATCAGTGTATACAGGCACCACTGGGAATTGTATTCTCATACGCTACTCGCCATTCCAAAGACTTTTGATAACTGATATAAATTAATTACACACATCAGCGATTAGAAACATTTGTCTATGAGTTTCTTATTGATTAATATAGAGTAGGTGATGCATCCTTGCGGAAAAATTACAGTTTTTATGAACATATCCATGTAAAGCTTTGTACTGTTAAAGGGCGTAACTACCTACACCTCTCTAAATATAACAAGAGGAACAGGCTTAATACAGCTCCAGGTTAGTTTGACTTACATCCGATATACATTGGGAAGTAACGCACGACAGCATTTCTGAAGTGTACATGCAGTGTACCAATATGGAGCCACTTTCGCGACACTATTACATACTTTTGCGACACTATCACGGCACTATTGTGGCACCAACGCGGCACTATCGTGGCACTATCACAGCACTTTTGAACCACTTACGAGAAACTTTCGCTGCATTTTCTAGCCACTTTCACGGTATTATCGTGTCACTTTTGCGATACTTTCACGGCACTATCACTAACGTATCGCAAAATAGTTTCACGCTACAAGGGAAGTGACTTTTGAAATGAATTGTATGAGTCATTTCCAAAATTTGTAAGATTTTTTGTTATATGTTAGTATCTCATTAATTATGTTATTCTAAAAATGTGTTTTAATCTTAATTGTATCTTATATATGTCTGCACATACTACTATATACAAAATAGCTCAAAATTACAGTTAAGCTCCAAAAAATGACTTTGAAGGGTCAAATTTTGCCCATTTTGGCTTGTCACAAGCCTGAAGGCCCAACTTCATATTTGATTTTAATCCAAAATTAGAATTTGTCAGACATTTTTGCATATATTTATAAAGAGTATCTTAGATTAAGTATAACAAATTATTTTTTAAATTTTGAATGAAAAATATTTGATTTATTGCCTTTTTTATGCTTGTCACAAGGTTACATTTCACTACTGTTATCAGAACTAAATATACTCTTCAAAAAAAGAAACTGACACTGACTTTCAAAATGTAAATATAATGAGATTGTTTCAAAATAGGACACCTAAACCATAATTGAAACACTGTTTGAATATTAATCGTGTCACCTAGACAGACACGTACACGATACAGTTAATGTCACAGGGGTACAGAAAATGTCAGTATCCGTTGTGCCCACCACATGCATCAATCACCGCTTGACACCGACGACCCATAGATGCAATCAAGTTGTCAATAACATGCTGTTGGATGTGCTGCCATTCATGCTGAAGTTGATCAAGAAGCGCCGGAAGTGTTTGGGGCGGGGGATTCCTTCTGCGAACATGTCGATCCAACTCGTCCTACAGATGCTCAATCAGGGACAAATCTGGTAATGTCTGGATGTTGTTGTGCTGTAAGAAGTCCTGACAAACACGTGCAATATGCGGTCGAGTGTTGTCCTGCTGGAACTGTCCGCATGAACGTTGACGTGAGGAAGAACGTGAGGCTGTAGGATCAAGTCTCTGTAACACACACCTGTCAATGCACCTACCACATGCACGAGAGGTGTCCTACCACCGTGATGAATTCCGGCCGAAACCATGACACTCCCGCCGCCAAATGGGACAACCTGCTGCACACAGTTGGGGGGCGTAACGTTCACCCAGATGTCTGTAGACACGTGCGCGCCCATCAGCACGTGTGAGTAGGAAATGGGACTCGTCAGTAAACAGTACATTTCTCCACCTTGCACGTGCCCATCTAACCCTCTGTTGGCACCAAAGCAGACGGTCTGCCAGATGACGTGGGGTAAATACATGACGTCGAACAGGTCTTCGAGCAAAAAGTCCAGCCTCCCTCAGTCTGTTGCGTACCGTTTGATCTGATATTCTGCGTACCCCAGGGATCTGTGTGGTTGTAGACGTGGCTGTGGTAGTGCAGTCTCAGAGGTGTTGCAGCCGGATGTATCGATCTGAGCTTGGATTGTCACCCTTGGTCTTCCTGAACTTAGTCTGTCGTCAACTCTGTTGGTGTTGTTGTATCGGGTCCACAGTACGGAGATTGTCTGTCTGGATACGCCAAAGTGCCTGGCCACTTCTTACTGAGTTGCTCCAGCTTGTAATCTCCCAATGGCGTTGTTCCGTTGAGCTGCATTCAGTCTTGGCATTCTGTCACCGCCTCTACTGTCTTTATGTTCGCTTGGTCTTAACCTCAGTATGTTTGAAAATGTCAGGATATATTTTTATAGTAATGTGTATATCAGTAATAAATGTGAAAAATATTGGTTCATTCATCCCATCAAAGATGCCGAGACTGTTTGAAATCACTTATCCATTATACAGTGCCTTATGCATAAATTGATCCCGCAGGCACCAAAATTGACACCATTTATTTTGCGTCATAGCTGGTTCTATGTCTTTGACAACACTAGTATTTTGATCAATATATATCTCACATAATTTTGGTTCATGGTAGGAAAAATACACTTTTTAACAGAACATAAAAGGACTTCTCTTACCACATAAATAATGTCTTAAGTAGATAAACATTTAGACAGTTTTATCATGAATCTAAATTGGACAAGACATGCACCTATTTGGGACCACCTCAATTCTTAGCTGAATACCTTCGAAACTTGTGTACCAAAAGACACTCTAAAGGTAGAATCATTACAACATATTTGGTAGTGCTTAGTACAGTGTTGGCCATTCTGGAGAATCACAAATTGATTAAGGTCTTGGAACTACAGGGACTACTACGCTCTTTCAGGCTTGATGATCAGACGGGCAATTTGAGTTCCCCTACGTCGGATTTGAATGTGGTACTTCAAGGATTGTGCGTCCCCCCCTTAACGCATCCTCATTTTATGACCTCACCAGCAAAACCATATTTCTCTTGGCTTAAACCACTGCAGCGCAGATGAGCGAGTTACATACACTTAACATCACCCATTGCTGTTTTGAGCATGGTATGAAGGGAGGGGTACATCTCGGTTTGTGCTTGGATTTTATAGCAAAAAGTCAACCACCAGGCCAACCTGACCGGTCCTGATTGTGGGGGTCGAAGATGAGGGTGAACTCCTCTTGTGCCCTGTATGCGCACTGTGAGTTTTCATCTGCCGCTCCAAAACAAGGCATGGTTCATGGAAACGGTTATTCATTCAAATATCGTGTATGTTCACGACTGAAGTTAGTTGCAACACCATATCTCGATGGTTACGAGCAGTCATCCTGCAGGCTTATGAGATCGCTAGCCTTGATCCACCGAGAGTGAACAATCCTCACAAGATCAGAGCGGTAACCTCAACCACACCGCTCTACACAGCAAGTGTTCCATTAGAGTAATCATGGAAGGATGTTTTCGGAGGTCCGACAAGGTTTTCCCCAGCTATTATAGTTGTGATGTGGCAGTCAAAGATGACGAAGGGGTAAGTAGTTTTGGCCCTCTGGTAGTAGCCCAGCAAGTAACCATGCCCCAGACACAAATAATGAACTCTGCCTGTCTGGAGCCAGTCTTACCAATACTGTCTACGACAATCCCGGTGGGAGGATTTTTCAAGCTTTTCATCAGCGTTGGCTTGGTAACACAGCATGTAAAGATTCTAGCATATGCTAATGTTCCGCTTAACCATTTGTTTACACAGGCTTATCCTCAATTCTCATGTACCATCTGTAAATAGGATTGAAGCCTTGACAACTTGTCATTTAGAGGGGTTTTGACATCTGAAGCTACACCCATCACCATACCGTCTGCTACAGATGCATTAAGGAGTAATCCAGGATAACCAAAATAATTAATAAAATCAAAAGACTTTTTACATTTGTATTCTTATCCTGCATTACTATACCCTACTATAGCTTCAGAAATTCCTTTTGTTAGCTCGGGTGATGAGCAGTAATATGTATTGGATGTGACATGACAATCTGTCACATGACAGCTACAGTTATCCTGTAAAAAGTGGACAAGAGTCGGAAACCATTTATTTTTCACCCAGGACCATCTTCTTTGCCGTAAGGAAAGCAGTAAATGCATCAAAGAATAATGTAGGATAAGTATACAAATGTAAAAATATATTGAGATTTTACTGAAATTCGTGAATTGATTGTGAAAACCCGCACCCAGCAAAACATTACACATCACCATCTGTCTATCAAACGACATAATAAAAACAATTCCAAGACCAAGACAAATGCTTCTAAACAAGTGCACATATATAACCAAAAAGTATTATCCACTTTCTTAAAGATATATATTCAGTTTAAGTATTAAAATACAATGAAATGGCTATTTATTAAACTATTCATATGAAATAACAATATTGAATATTACACTCTTAAAGGAAATATGTACATGTTGCAGTTACATTTACATTTCATCTCCTAACAAGACACTATAACCTTGTCAATATAATGGCATGTTCATTGACATAAGTATTTGGTATTTTACGAGCGAACCTTCGTTGATTCAGGGATCGTATATTCATTGTTGTATTTGTTTAATGGCTTTCATTGTAACAAGGATAAATAACCCTGTCCTTGTGTGTGTTTCTGCGTCATGCAGGACGGAAACTTTGACAATTTCTGTTGAATTTACCAAATCATACTAATGTATCTATTTTTCTCCCCCTATTCTTCCTACGCTTCTTCCCGTGCATATTCTGATCATATAGAGCCAATGTATGTAACAAAAGGATATCTCAAAATAGGAGAAAATGCTACACAGTGTAAAATCTGAATTTGGCTTGGTTTACATTTCAAACAAGTGCAGTTTTCCAAGGACAGCATTCATTTTTTATTTCTTTAATTCTTTTAATTTATTTAGCTTGATTTCATCTAGGCACTTTGTATTGGTGACAAAGACTATTTGTCATTTGATTCTAAAATGTATGACGAATTCGGGGATGCATGTACATGTCAAGTTTCATACCTTTCAATCTTCCTGAAGTGTAATCTTCCCATGCAGCATGATTTGAACCAAAGAAGTCTCCAACACACATCAACACCTCAAAAAAGAAGAATACAATACATTTGCACCTTCAGAATAAAAAGAAATAATTTCAAACATCAATTATATAGCAATGATCATAAAAAGTGTAACCACAATATAGGCCTCAGGATGATGTTCGAAGCACAGAAGAGAAATCAAAACAGTCCCTTTTCCAAGATTGCCTCTTAGCATGCTTCAATAAAGGTCATTACCCCAGTAACTTGCCAGGAAGTACAGTGTAGTCCATAATATAGTTTAGTATCCCTAAGTTAACCCTAAGTTACTTGGGTAATGACACTAAATCTTTATCTAAGAATGCTAAAAGGATATCTTGGTCTGTTTTGAAGTGAATACATCAGAACAAGTTTCACAGTTGGCAAAAGTTGTTTATTTTAGAATCTGTTCATGTTTTCCAGTTCATAACTCTCAACAGAATAATCTTTAAATCAGACTATGGATGTATTCAAAGCTAAAACAGAAGCAGCCCGATCCTCACCATTTCCTGAATGCCCCCAAACTTTTTGATCAGAAACATGTATCATAAACATCAGCTGACAGTTGACACATGCCCTACGCAGCACAACTTTGAAACAGGAAAGCTTTTTCCTTTAAAATACCTTAATAACAAAATTATTAACCCTTCTGATGAAACACCATCACTGATGATTTTGGAAAACACATGGACAATGAAGTGAAAGTTTGAAGCTACCTCAAAACACTTTCGTAAGCACTTCCAGTTTAATGACCTTGAGCTTCAATCTCAGCCATGAATCATGGAGATCATTGTCAAATTCACTCATAATGCTCAAGATATTGTGTATACATAAGTTCCCGAGGGACCTTGACTTTCAATGTCATCCAATCACATACAAGAAGATTATTTTTTGCAAACTAAGGCCAGACCAATTTAATTGCTAGGATTACGGATTTTTTCGGGTAAAGTGGCTGAATGGAGGAGGGAATCTAAAAAAAAAAAGTACTTGAGAGAATTTTTTTTCGCAGGTATTACGGATTTTAGGAGGCAGGAATGCTGATAGGAGGAAATAAAAAAATATATTAAAAAATCCCTCACTTGTGCCACAGAAGCTACAAAAGTATTTCCGTATTACCCACCACGCATTGTGCAAGCAATGCACTATAGTCCCTTTGTCTAATGACACTCCTTACTGATGACCAGGGTTTACAGGTATCTTTTGGCAGTTTTCCACAAGCAGGTAGACTTCAACAACAAGCTTTTAACTTATTAAAGTTTTATTATAAAATCAAACGCTGATATTTTCTGCACATCGGCGCTGTTTATTCTCGATTTTGCCACCACTGTCACATAATTTAGTCCAAAGTCTGCTAAAACTTGCATAGGTGTTGTAAGTTCGACAATATTCCCATAGGAACCAGCCTTAGATTCTGTTGCATGCACCTCTTGAATAGAAAGTCCATCTCCATTGGCGATTGACGATGCGGCTTTTGTCGTCAAATCACCAACTGTGTCATCCAGTGGACTTTCCATGATTCGCTTTGTTAAGCACACACTACCCTTCAGAACGATTACGCTGAAATACTTTGCTGACATTGTTAAAAGACACCAGATAATAAAAGGCATTAAAACACCCAAACTGACACCCCATGTCCTACACATGGTCCCAGCATATTCAATACACGCTGTGCGCATGCGGGAAACACTTGTAATTGAGAGTACGCATTCGATTGGCTTTGTTTGCGTGGAATGACCAATGGAATTTGCCGACACATTTGAGTAAGGAATTTTAGTTAAAAACTAGAGTTACTTCCCCTAACATGTATTCTCTCACAACAAGGCTTATCGATCGATGTTGGATGTCGGGTAGAATATTAAAAAAAAAAATTGATAGAATTTCGTTGTTTTCTGATTTGGCGAAAAATTGTGTCGGCGGATCCATAATCCTAGCAATTAAATTGGTCTCGCCTAAGATTGTGTTACAAGCGAGTGAGTGAGTATGCTTTTTAGCAATATTCCAGCAATATCATAAGAGGGACACCAGAAATGGGCTTCACACATTGTACTGATGTTCGGAATCAAAAGGGGGGCACGGGTGGCACAGTCGTCTAAGGCGCCGCGATTCGCTGTGCAAAGTTGCGTCCCTTGGGCACACCAGAAACCTATGATTGTGGGTTCGAATCCCGGTTCGCCTTGATTATGTTTCTAGGTTTGTCAGCACCATACCCGTGCTCGTGGGTGCTCGTGGGCTCATAACGAAATAATGGATCTAGCGAACTCACCTTGTGGTCCCATGTGTACTCAACGATAATGTTTAAGCGTATAATGAACTGTTAATCCCTGAGCTGAGCTCCTCACGTGTCACCAGAGAATCTGCCTTATCAAAACATCTGTGGCCAGGCGCGGCTATTCAAAGCATCAAAAAAGAACTGGAGGCTAGTGATTTACTTTTAAGCACTGACACCTTGTCCTAAAATTACACTCTTAATTAACAATAGTAAAACAGTGATTGAAGTGGCTATATTCTGTACATGTACAGTACAGAATGCACACATTTGTTAGTTATCGAGTAATATGTCAAATGACTTGATAAAAGATGTGTGACGGTCGAAATGCGTTTAACAAACGACGGGTATAACGAACTAAAGTTAGTGTTATACCCATGGTTTACTGTACATCTATTACATCACAGCCACCAATCCTGTTTTTGGGCTGTTATCACACAATAAGATTCTTTAGACTTTCAGCAGACATCCTCTTCACCGCCAGCCTTTCACCACAGTCTTTAGGGGAACCCTATCCCTCGCCCAATGCTTCTGTACATGCACATTTCCAATAACCAATATTCCCAGATGCAGATAAATTGGGGAAGTTGATGGGACCACTCCTCATGTAATAAAGGTAGTATTCTTAGAATTATACACAATGATAACTTATTGTTTGATAATACCTTTGAATACCCTACCTCCATTATGTCATAGCCAGAATTTACAAGAGGGAAAGGTGGGATCTGATATTTAGTAGTCTTCACAACAGTGACACATGACACACAGAAAGAATAAGGAAAATGCACAATACCTGATTCTTCCTCTGAAAGTACCATTATATTGACAGTTCCAATGATGTTACTTTCGGTCATTTGATATCATATCAAGCTTTATCATACAATGGGTAGGTTTCTTGGGAGGATAAAGCCAAAAGATAAAAACGATATCTGTTGGCGTTATATGCGGATATGCAAATATCAAAAGGTCAAGTAGGGACTACTTTCAGTGTTTATAAACAAACATGGCGTCGCCCTTGTCATTCGGCAATTGAGTCAGAATTAACCATCGAGAATCTGTGTAAACCACAGGGATAATTGCTATCATTACGAGAGTTTGCCACTAACGTGGCTATATCCCCGGCCCCTGTTGCAGAATTTATGACATAGTTAAATCTAAACAAACCCTAACCTTTTTTAACCGAGGTGGAATTTGTCATCGAAATTGTAAAAAAAAGAAGATTTTGGAACTAAGTCCATCTTGCTGCCATGGAAACGTAAAAAAATGCAAATTTCAAAAATTTCTAAATAGCAAAAGGCACCAGTTCAGCATGTACCTGACAGACTTTCAAAGTTTGATGAAAAAATATTGAACGGTTTATGAGTTATGCTCCGGAAAAGAAACCCTACCCTCACAGAACCTAAGTCCATCTTGTTGCCATGGAAACATAAAAAAAATATTTTTCTAAAATTTCTAAATAGCAAAAGGCACCAGTTCAGCATGTACCTGACAGACTTTCAAAGTTTGATGAAAAAATATTGATCGGTTTATGAGTTATGCTCCGGAAACGTGATGGACGGGGGATAATTAAAAGAACAGTCTAATATACTGAAAATCAGTGTCTAACTGTGACGAAGCTAAGGCATTTTATAAGTTTTGGCAACAATTTTGCGAGGGCACTCGGCCTAGCCAAGCGGGATCAGTAGCCATATCTGTGCTTGTAGACCTCCGAGGCTTGAAACCTTTTCCACAAATTAAAATAGTTGGATTCGGCCGAAATATGTTTGAATTGTTACCTTTTTACATTTTGTCGCTGTGTGTACATCTGACTGCACTTCTTAACGTTATAACAGGACAGGACTGTCAACAACGTCTGAACGTAACCGTGACGTTTCATAGACTAGGATTAGAGCAGCTTCCCTTTGACAAACCGAAGGCAGACCGAAGGATTGCCACAAAAGGCAAGTAAAAACAATTGTTGTTTTCATATATGTTGCTTCGCCACTGTATAAGAAACAGATTTCAGTTGGAACCATATTGGCTACTGTCCCTGTCCGACTGACACATCAATTACCCTGTGATGCAATAAATAAGCAATTTTGACATTATATGATTGAACCACAGAACACCTTGACATCTAATAATTTGAGTCCAGCAGTTAACCTGGATCTATCCTACCCTGGCCAACAAATGATCAAAAGGCTAAATTACCTTGGAAGGTTGTAGTTGCTGGAAACGATCTTTGAGTTACAGTGAGTGAGGAGAATTTTGTAAATTTGACACTGGCAGCAGTAGCCATGGCTGTCTTCCTCAAAGTATACATTAAAGTAGATTTAGTCTCATATAGTGCTTCCAATTAGGTCAACAACACAATGGATAGACTTCAGTTTTGGAAAGTGCGTGGGTTTCTAATATCCTCCAGTGGGAATGCCTTCATTTGTTATTTGTTTGTCCTTGTTTAATGCTGCGCTCAGCAATATCCTAATATGAAGGCGGTCTGTGAGTAAGCCTGGACCATGATTAAAATCATGAACATCAATCCACGCAATTGGTATACAATGACATGCATCAACCAAGTCTGCGAGCCTGACCACCCAATCCTGTTAGTCACCTCTTATGACAAGCATGGGTTGGTGAAGACCTATTCAAACCCAGACCTTCATAGGTCGGAATGCCTTCATTAGTTGAATGAGTACTGGGTGTGTACCTATAGAAAAAAAACATCATGCAGGAGGACTGAACCTAATGCTGATGTGTCCCCTTCAATAGTGTCATGTC